TAATACACATTAAATCATAATTTTAATTAAAATATTCAATATCACTAATACAATATTGCATAAGATTTTCGTATTTGAATTTATTAATTTAAATATTAAATTTCGAACGAAGAAAAAGATTTTATTTATCATCTCGAAGCGCCGTCGCATCTTTAAATTATTATTATTATAAAAAATTCATACACAAAGTCAGTTGTAAATTATTATGCGCGGTTATTTGTCGAAGAGGGAATAGTTTTCATCTATAAAGCTGCTAATTTAAAAATAAAAAAAAAAGTAGAATTTATCCCAGGGGGAAAAAATTGTAAACTACATTTACGTGTCAAAACGTTTTACGATTGCATGTAAAACGACGCACATTTATGTGTATATATATATTCACAATATTGCTTTCACAAAATTTTACGAGGAAAAATTGTTTTTTTTTTTTCTTTCTTTCAATTTTTCACATCATTTTTCCCCGCAAATATTAATCAAACTCCATTTAACCGCACTCTTTCGTCTTTATATAAAATATAATAAGATCAGAACTTTCTCTATATATATACTACTGTGTCACGAAGATTTGTCTTACGGCAAGTTTTTATTTTGTTAACTCTTCAAGCTAGATTGAGAGCATTAAATTCATTATTTAAAGAGAGCATTATCCATGAATATTCAAATAGAAGCTATTATTCTTTAATAAAAAAAGTTTCTTATTATTGAATTTCTTATTTATACGTTCCCTGTTATATATATAAATATACAGTTAAACTATATATATTTTTCATTTTCACATTTCAGACTTTCATTAATAAGAAATAAGAGGGAAAAAATTTTAATACTTTAAGAGCCATTTCGCGCTGGTGCAAAAAATCTTATTATTCATAAAATAATCACAATACATTAAAAAGAATATAACACATTAATTTAATGCACCGATTTTATTATTGTTTTTAACGATTAAAAATGATAGAATAACCTCTTTTTTGAATTTTTATAAATTAAATTCGATTGCCCAGGTAGAAAAATTAACATTACTAACGTTACTAATATTACTAACGTTACTAATGTTACTAACGTTAGTACCTATAAAAAAAATTAAGAAACTGTTTCTAAATTGTATTTTTGCAGAAACTTGTCGAAAATCGACCACCAGGAAGTATTTAATGTTCTTACCCGAACTTTTTATAATTTTCATTCCCATTTCCACTTATACTTTTTCTAATTTTCATTCGCACTTCCATTTTCACTTCTACTCTTTCTAATTCTCATTCCCACTTCACTTCCACTTTTTCTAATTTTCATTCCCATTCCTATTTCCACTTCCAGTTTTTCATATTCATTGCCACTTTCACTTTTTCTAATTCTCATTCCCATTTTCACTTCCACTTCCACTTTTTCTAATTCTCATTCGCACTTCCATTCCCACTTTCACTCTTTCTAATTCTCATTTCCATTTTCACTTTTCTAATTTTCATTCCCATTTTCACTTTTTTATTTTCATTACCACTTTCACTTCCACTTTTTCTAATTTTCATTCCCACTTCTACTCCCATTCTTTCCACTTTTAATTTACATTAGCTGTTGCCATTTCGACTAAAACTCTTTCTAATTTCGATTTACACAACCATTTCCACTTTTTTAAATTACAATTAGAAAAAGTTAAAGTGGCAATGAATATAAAAAAGTGGAAGTGAAAATGGGAATGAAAATTGGAACAAGTAGAAGTGGAAGTGAAAGTGGGAATGAGAATTAGAAAAAGTGAAAGTGGCAATGAATATAAAAAACTGGAAGTGGAAATAGGAATGGGAATGAAAATTAAAAAAAGTGGAAGTGAAGTGGGAATGAGAATTAGAAAGAGTAGAAGTGAAAATGGAAGTGCGAATGAGAATTAGAAAAAGTATAAGTGGAAATGGGAATGAAAATTATAAAAAGTTTAAGTGGAAGTGAAAGTGGTAATGGGAGAATAGTGTCAAAGTTTCTGTGAAAATATATTTTAGAAACATTCGTTATGTTAGTAACGTTAATTTTTTCACCTGGGTGTTGTTAATTTTGCATTTAAAAATATTTTCAATTTATTTTATTAATTTATTTTCGAAATTTTTTTTTCTAAATTCATGAAATTTATGTAATCTAATCATTAAGTCACTAAATTTCCTATAATACCTATTTTTAACACATTCCTATTCCCACTAACAATATAATTTAATTATTCAAAATTATTTTGCACTAAATTTGAAATGTAAATTTCACAATGTAATTATGGGAAAAAAAAATTGTAAAAATTTGCCTTATTATTATTATTGGAAGAACATATATGACAGTGACCTAAAAAAAAAAAAAAAAAAGAGTGAAAATAGGAAACCTGGAAGGTACGACTAGTGTGAAACCAATTGAGAATGACAGAGAAGAGAATTTAAGTACATTTAATTGCCACTATTCGAGGCCACATTGTTTTTTGTGCATCAGAGAAAGAGAGAGAGAGAGAGAGATAAAATGCAACTAATACGACACTTAAACCGCAACTACTGTATATATATATATATTTTTTTTTCCTTGCAAAAAAGCGTGCATGCCCTGAAGCTTTAAAAATAATGAGCACCTGGACTTTTACAAGTAACGAGTCGCATCAATTCACAGGTTAATTAGAGTTGTAGCTTTTGGTATATACATTGAGAATAGAGAAAAAAAAACTTGAGAAAACTAAAGACACTAATATTGGTTGAAACAATGCATGACATAGCATAAAAGAAAAATAGCGAGAGAAAAATTGATATACACAGGCAAATCATTAAATCCATAGTGAATTTTCTTTTTCAATATATAGTCAAAAGGCAATGTCTTTTCAAATGATTACTCGTTCTTGTGGAAAGAGTAAGAAAAAACTTGATTAAAAAGACCAGAGAAAAAAGAAGAAACAAAGTGTAGAATCTGATATTTTATCTACAGAGGGTCATGGTAATTGGAAACCAATGTATATATATATATATAAAGCCTCTATTTTGGGTCACTGATTCAAGAATTCTGTTGAATGCAAATTTTTCAATTTTAACCAGACGAGGAAAAAAAAATACCGATTGTTCAAATTAAGAAAATGAGAGAAAAAGTTTATTATCATTTCTAAAACAAGTCAGAAAAAAATTTCCCTTTTGCATAATATATTTAGTGAAAGAAAAAAGAAAATCTCAAAAACAATGAAACCTATTTAATTAGCAAATAGGAAAATAAATTTTTTTTTAAAACTAAAACAAATATTTCATAATCGAATTATTTTTATAGAAAATTTTTCATTCGTTTATTTTTTTAATTTAAAAGTAATTTTTGTTAAATTAAAGAATTTAAAAAAAAACTAAACATCAATTATTATTATTACTAAGTGGAAGAAAAATAGTTTCTTTTAGAATCAAATTAAATGAGACATTATGATATTCTCAATAATGAAACATAATATTATTAATAAAAACTATATAGAATAATATGTGACAAAATTATAATATTATAAATTAACATGTTTGTCTAATTATTGACAAGATTTTCTAAAAAAAAAAAAATTTAATTTACATCAATGCTTTCTATAATACTTTTATACTATATGTAATTCCAATATTTTTCTTTTCATCAAACGATGTTATATACAAAGTTATATTGAATCTAGTCTTTTGTTTTATAATGAATGACATTCTATATAATTGAATCAAATGAGTAGGAGGATTTAGCGTAGGCGAAAATCAAAATTATAAAGCAGGTACCAAATTAATTATTATTATTAACTATAATATATTAAAATATCAAATTAAATATTAACAATAATAATAATTGATGTTTAAATCATTTTATTTAATTTATTAAATTTTCAATTATATCTATTAATTTAATTCATAATTTTTTCAAAGAAAATTAAACATTCTTTTATTAACAAAATTGCCTTTTGACATTTAAAAATTTGTCTTATTTTATTTTCAAACGAACTGACACGAACAAAGTGGAAATAGAAGAAAAAAAAAAGAGATGAAGAAAAAAAGAATAATTTATGAAAAGTAATAATTCTCGAGATAAAATACATTTACCGTATTCAATCCCATAAGGGTGTGAAGACAAATTTAAAAAATAGAAAAAATTCTTTCAAAAGAAGGCAAATTTATGCAAAAATTTTTCTTCTCTGGAAAAAAATTTAAAAAAGAAAAAAAAACACTTTTTCCAACTGTTGGATATTTTCTATTACACTCGTTTTATCTTTTAAGAGTGAACTTATTGAAACAATGTTTTCAATTTCCTTTAAGTGAATATCTGCAATGCTGATGATATCAAATCAATAAAGTCTCTGAGATTTTTTTTTCACAACCAGAAACCAATCTTTTTTTTTTATAATAACGTAAAAGATTTTATCGACCTTGTTGAAAAAGTGACAAAACATTTCGAGGCGAAAGTTGAAATGAAATAAATTTTCTTAAATTTCTTTTCCTACTACTTTCAGCCACACGGCTATATATATACTGAAAGCTATCCAATTTCACCTCTTGTACGTTTTAACTCATTGTGAAAAAAGGGGATACACAAAAAACAATGTAATATATTTGTTCAATTGAAACTTTTCTCTTAGCATAATGCATCAAATTTTCTAATATCAGGTGCCAATACGAGGCCACCAAAAACGTTCAAATATAAAAATATAATGTTCAAAAAAAAAAAAAAAAAAGTATAAATCAGTCTTTGTCTATTTGATTATTCTGACGTTTCACAAATAAACATCAATCATACTTTCATTCATTTTTAATATATATTCAATTATTTTAGTTAATATAATTAAAATAGACCACCAAATATTAATGCTCAATGATTTCACATATTTTACGAATTTAAAAATTCTTTCCGATTTTATTGACTGAATTATTTTTTCTTTTTTTTTGAACATATGTTTTTTTTAAAACGCAAATTATTTAAAAAATCTAAAAATATTAGACTTTTTTTAATTATTTTAAATAAAAATAAATTTTAATAAAAAATAAAAACCGACTCACTGATTATTGAATCCTACGCGGCGTCCACATTTTTTCTATCCATTCAACTGAAATCTGAAAAAAGAAAAAATTAAAATAATTAGTTTTTTTTTTACAAAAAACCATCAATTATTACAATAAATTATTAAATACAATAAATTACAATAAAAAAATATATTTTCAATATTTTTCCTAACAAATTTTATTTTATTTATTTTTTTCTTCCGGTCAAAGAAATCTTAAGTTCAAAAGCGCGCGAGAGTATTCATTTCAGTCAAGGTTATCTTATATAAAGAAGGAAGAAGTCCATTTTATAAGCAAAACTATATACAGCTTGAGTAAAAATGCATTGTCTCCAGATATAGACTCGATCGATTTCAGTCACAGAAAAAAAAAAGAGAAAGATTCAACAAAAAGTGGAATAGAGAGATAGATTAACTCAACGACGTTGAAACTAAAATCAAAGTAGAAATAGTCCCATACATATAGTTAGACGCGAATTAGCGACGTCTTTATATATATATATATAAAATGAATTTGAGAGAGTTATTTTAATAGCGATGAGTAATTTAAAAATTTTTTTTCATTCTTTCAAAATTTTTCCTAATATATTCTTTTAATATTATTAACCTAATGGAATTTTCTATAAATATAATTTAATTTATTACTGGTAATGCTTTTTCACATCAGAATATATTATTTCATTTCATTACACGATATACCTTCTTTCATTAACTTTATAATATAAAATAATGTAATATAGGTATATAAATTTAATATACAATATTAATAAAATACAATATAAAATATTCACAAATATTATATAATTTTTTATCATCATAAAAATTTATTATAATTATTCAAATAACTGACCTCAAAAAACGTGAGTGCGTGCTTGTTTTCTACTTAATAAAAGAAAAAAAAATTGTCTACTCAGTGAAATTTTACACTTTTGTTATGAAAAATATATCAAAAAGCATGCGTTTTCGTTTTTTTCTCAACTTTACATTTATGTGTGTTCATATATAGCATATTCAAATAAATTTACTTCAGTTTCCCAGGAGCTACGATTATTTTTTATTTACCTACTCATTTCTACTTTAGAGTATACCTCGCTTTTAAATGAAGAAGTGTTTTAATGTTTTTCTCTTGCTTTCATAAAAAAATACAAACACACATTAATAATAATTTTTTTCAAAAATACTTGACTTTATAAAAAGTAAATATAAAAAAAAATTATTTATTATTTAAAATAAATTTATTTTGAAAATAATTAAAGATTATACAAAATGTACAATTTATGTAATATTTGAATTTTTTTTTATCTTTTTTGATTTTCTTGAAAATTATTTCAAGGTTGACAAAATCATACTATGTGCGCATCTCACTAGTTCGAGATGCGATTAAACATGCAACCACAAATTCCTGATTCAGAATTTGTAAGAGGCTCGTCACTCTCTAACAATTTCTACAATTTCAGATGACATACTTTCTAATTCTGAATTGCATCACTCAAGTGCTTTGTGATTCCAATTATTCTCGAATTAAATCGTAGTTCGCGACATGTATATACATATATACACGTTAACAACTGCTATTAATTTGCATCCTCTCGTTTCATATCGGAAACAGTTTTTATATACGAAGAAAAGTTAAAAATAACTTTTTTATTTTTTTTTTTAAATCTATTTTTCGTTTAAATTATTTTTATCGCGCCAATTATTTTAATATACAATTTTCTTTGTAAAAAAAAGTATACAAAAAATAGGTCAACTATTACTAATTTTTTATTCAATTTTTTTTTTTATTCTTTAATTTGATTATATTGTAAAGGCTGAAGGTTGTATTTGATAACCTATTTCATGAAGGGGGGAAGTGTTTCAATATATTGGATAACACTGATCTCAGCCAATCACGAAATATCAGACCGTTCAAATTTCAACGAACTGCACACTCACGATATAGAATCCACAGTAGATAAGGTCGATTAGGGTCAGACCGAATAAACATGTCTGACCAGAAACTTTCTAGACTACTACAATCGTCTTTGAAGGAAAATCGATGTCACAAAAAATCAGGATTAAATTCCTACAATTCAATTGCCACATTTTGTTATCTTCAATTATTTCTTTTTTCTTTCTTTCTTTCTTTTTTTGTTATTTGAAAATTTTATAATAAAAAAATCTTTTTTTTTTTTAAATCATATTAGAAATTTAAAAAATTTAATATATAATAAAATAAGATGAAAAATGTCAAAAAAATAATTTTTAAAGAAACAAGTTAAATGTTTTATCAAAATTAACCTCCTAAGGAGAAAGTGTCGATAAAAGTGAAAAAATCTAAAGCTTTTTCATTTTTTTTTTCCCCCTCATTTCTCAATATGAGCGTCTTTTTAGATGTATTCTACTATTGTGTTGCACCGTCTGAACCATTTTTCATGCTTAACTCGTTTTTATATATAAGCCGAGACTATACAGTTATATTCTTATTGTAACAATATATATATATATATATACTGAACGTCAGAGATTTTTTTAATATGATCTATATATATATAGTGAGTTTGCGTTTACGTCGAGTCATAAAAGTCCCTCAAAGTGTGAACATAAAATTTCAAAAACTTCATCGTAAATCTTACATTTATTTTCAACATATTTTCTCGATTATCTTCATATATAATATATCGAATATCGAATGCTCAATAAATTAGAAATAATCTATTGTTTTCCTCATCGTTTAATCAATTTAAAAAAAAATTGTTTACTTTCAAATTTGTATATTAAAAGTTAACGAAAAAAATTCTTCTTTATTATAAAAACAAAAAGATTTTTTTTTAATGAATTTTATGATTTTTAAATCAAAATTAATAGATTAAAGATTTTATTTAAAGTTATTTTGTAAATAGAGAAAAAGAAAAATAGAAAAATATAAATATTGATGTGAAAAGAGGAGAGGATAAAAAAAATGATATCTCGAGAAATTTAAAAACTACTTTAAAACTTATCAAATGGTCCTTTTTAAAAGAAACAAGATTCTTGAGAGCAAGAGTAGTTAAACCACTTTCTTCGTGATTTTCTTATATATACAAGAAGTAAACGAGCTAAGAAATGTTTCTAACAACATCAGCATGTTTCATGAAAACACTTAGTTTTTGAACCATATTTGAAAACTCGCGAAAGAATTTCTTATTACGAAAGCATGTGAAAAAGAACAGCACTTTGATATTAAACTAAAAGTAAATTTTTTAAAAACTTTTACGAAATTTAAGTAATTAAGAAAGATTAAGAATTTCCAGTTGTTGTTTTTTTTCAAACTTTTTGCATCATAACTTAAAAATAAAATATAAAAAGTGATAATGTTTTACAAAAATTTCAAAAAAAAACACTTCAAAAATAGAGATATTAAAATAAAATTTAATAAAAAATTCTTTTTTAAAAGTTTGAAATTTAAAAATGAACTTTAAACTCTAAATATATCGATTGAATGGTTAATCCATTCGGTCCATTTGGCATTCATTTACGCATGGGAAATTGGAAAATTTTTTAAATTCCTATACTGGATACGCTGTGGTCTATTGCTACAGAATATACAAAATGACAATAAAAATCGTGGGTTGAAATCGATATAAAAAAAACAGTGAGATGGCTCGACTAATTAAAAGAAATATATATATGGATATTCTAGTTTTTTAGAATAAAAAGAAAAAAATATTTAAATATTAAAAAAAAACATATATAAATCTTATAATAAAAACGACGGACATATCACATGTCACGTCCCTATATGATATTCCCGAGAGGTTTTTTCAAAATTTTTTTTGAACGATCGTATAGGTTAAGGATAAATGGTCCCATCAAATGAAAACATTTTCAATTTTATTTTAAAACCACAAACTATAAAAATTTGCTTTTCGATAAAAACAAAACAAAAAACTAAAACATCCAAATTTTTACATTTAAGAAAATAAAAATCTCACAACAATCTTAAAAAAAAATTGGTATTCATATAAGATAATAGATTCTGTGTCAATTGACATTTCACTATATATATATTGCTTGATTCAATGATTTGACCTACTTCGAGGAACCCTTTATGACACACATTCAGAAATCTCAACAAAAAGTAAATACACTATACAGCTCTCTTTCTCTCTCTCTCTCTCTCTCTCTCTCTCTCTCTGTAAATATTAATACAAATACATAAATAATAATCAGAATCCTGCGACAAAAAAGAAAAATGCAAAATTACATTTTATACCCCTATATGAAAATCACTGTGAGAAAATTTTTTGTTTTGATTTTTACACACATGAAAATAGAATGTAGAACAAGTACAAATCGGTTTACTGATTTTGCCTTCGAATTCTCTATTGCATTTCGCTTGGTGCATATTCGTCGAATTTAATGCATTCAATGAAGAGAAAGAGAATAGATGTTGGAAGGAGGATGTGTGTGTGTGTGTGTATGTGTGAGAAAGAGAAGAATATCTTTAATCTCTAACAAGAGAACGATGGATTTAACGATTTTATATTCTCAATGCAACGGATCAAGCCACTTCTGAATACAATTATTATATAATCATTTTTCCTCACTTCAAATATTTTCCCCTATTCATATTTTACCCATATACAAACGATTAAAAAAATTCTATTGTATAGATGCAAATAAAAACAAAATTTATCGGAGAAAAAAAACTTTTTAATTAGCGAAATTTTTTATAACTTTCGCACATATTTTTTTTTTTTTTCCATGTCCAACACAAACAAAAACTAATTATATATTTTGTAACATATTTTTTTCTATATCAAAATATTGAACATTGGCTAAAATATTATACCCTTGTTTATAATTAATAAACTAACTTTATGTTTAATTATTAATAATAATAATATATTATTAATTAATTTTTAAATTCATGTTTATTTAATATCATTTAAAATAAAATTATTAGATATTAAATAATTCTATTTTATTAATAAAAATTTAAAATTTTAATTTTAATTTTTTATATTTTAATTTTAAAAAAATTTGAATTGAGAATATAAATTCTGTATTAAATATTTACCGAATTTATATTATATTATTTTCTGTAAAATTAATTTAATTAATAATTTTAATAGAATCAATTTATCATATAAACATTCGTCAATTTAAATCAATAACAAAAAATTCAAAAGATTCTTCTTCATATACACGTCGAACTTGTTGACATTTTCAAACGAACAAGTTCAATTTTATATTTATCCTTTTTTTTGAACGGATATATTGACACGTATGTAAATATGACCAAGAGGAAATGTATCGTCAAACGAATCTATTTCCATTTTTCAAGTTTGCATTTGCTATTCCCCGCGTGTCAGCTATGTATAATATTTTATTTTCCTACTCTTGACAGGTGTATAGGCACAAAACTCAGGTTATATACCTTCAAATCCCCCATTCCTCACCAATCCCCTTTTCCCACCTCTAAAAGAGTAATATGCTATAAGTTCAACCCAGAGGGAATACAGAATTTAGCATTCGTCTCCATTAGTGTACTGTGTGTGGAAAATTTCAAGGTTGCATATATAATATAACTCTCGTTTCAAGCCAAGGTCTTATTAAAATCTCGCTAAATTCTAATTGAATCTCCCATGGTCAAAGAAATTTTTATCAAATGACAATGAATTTTGTTTTTATCATTTTTCAAAAAAAAATCAACAATATTTTTAATTAATTAAATTTTTGATTAAATGAATAAAAAAATTTTATTTTACAATATTCTTTTAGAAACTTTTTTCAAAAAAAAAATTATTTATAAAAAAAAATATTAAAAATTTTATATATGATAAAATTATAAAAATGGAGAAAATATTGCTAAACATTGACTTGTACTACTGAATTACAAAAATGTAAAAAGTCTGACTAAATATTTACTTTTACTACTAAATTTACAATTTAGTCACCACGTTTCACTAAAACCTATGCTACTGATAAAATAACAAAAAAAAAATATTTCCCTGCATTTTCAAATTTTTTTTAATAATGACTATTTAAAAATTATGCTAAATTTTTATTGCCCGGATAATACTTTTTTGTTTACTTTAAAATTAATTACAAGAACATATTTACATATAACTAAAAATAAATTTGCCTTGAACTTCTCTTTTGTCTCCTTTTTTTAATTCATCTAATTAAAGAAAAGCTATTTTTATTTCAAATTCTGAAATATCTCTACCAATTTTTTTCTTTTTTTTCTTTTTGCCTTTATGTATTTCCTTAAAGCAATCTTGTATATTATAGTATCGTTTATTTCACATCATTTTAGGACTTTGTAAGAAAGTTAGAAGTGATAAGACTGGTTTCAAGATTCTATTGAGAAAGAGGACATACTCAAAAGGCTGTGTAAAGTTTTCAATGAAATTGAACATTACGTGAGAGTTTCTTGAGTAAACTAATAAAGTGAAAACGTCCGTCATTTCCCTCGTTCTCGTTTTGCTATATAGTAGTAGTATATACGTATATAGTTGTACATGATGATGAGCGTAATGAAAAGAGAGAAAATGCCGAGCTATCATCCCTTTACACGTGTCGAAATTATTATGCTCTTGAAAATATATATATATATTTCTTTTTCCCCAAGGATCTTTCAAAGTAACCATATAAATATCATCAGTATAATACAAAATTGCATCTATTTTGAAATCAGCAAAAAGATCAATAATAAACATTTGAAAAAAAAACAGAAGTTTCAAAAGAATTTTTTCAAAATCTCTATATTTTTGCCCTAATTTTTTGTCGAAAAAATTTGAGAAAACAAAATTCTGAAAAAAAAATTCTTTTTTTACTATTACAGGAGCAAAGTAGCAGCAGCTTTACTAAATAAACATCTACAAATCAACGGAATATCAGCGGGATTGGCTGGGTTGCCTTCCGTTGGACAATCGTGCCCGGAACCTATACCGGAAGAACCTCCAATAACCAGTAGTAGTAAAATGAAAAGAGAGAGAAAGGCTGCAAGGACATTGGGTATCATCATGTCTGCTTTCCTCGCCTGTTGGCTACCCTTCTTCCTCTGGTAATATTTTTTATATTATTAATTTTAAATAATAAAAAAAAAAAATTACAGAAAAATAATAAAAATCTATTTTTTATTCCACAAAAGAGCAAATTGATAAAAATTTATATAAACTCCCAAAAGAATTAAAATATTCTCAATTTTCATTACATATATTCACTAAAAATTTAATCAACATTCTTCTCAGAAGAAGAGATAAAATAATACCCTCGTTCAAAATAATGTGAAGGTTCGAAATTGAAAAATAACAAATACTTCAAATAATTACTAAACATCAATGAAAACAGCTTTGAATTTTATTTTTTAACCAATTTTTAACAAAATCATTTCAACAATTATAGATAAATTCATAGATAAACGTGTTTGATAATGCGCAATTTTTTTTTTTTTTTTTTTTATAAATTTTATCCCTTAATGAGGAAATGACGATTAATATATTTATGTACTTTCAAAGCTAAAATGGACAAAGAATGAAAACTAACTAAATTTACAATGTCTTTCACTATACATATTTTAATCACGTTCATGAATTCATAAAATCATTACCCTCTCTCTATCTCTCTTTGCTCTATATATATCAGATATCGAGAACAAATTTTGCAATATTAAATTCTCTTCGAAATCCTCTATTTACATTTTACATATTCAAGAATTTTTTTCTATCTATAGATAGAAAAAAAAGTAGTATTCTTCTTTCCCCAAAATATCAAATATTGAATAATTTTTACAAATTACATATATATATATATTCATTCAATTAAAGTGCGTGTTGACAATAATTTTTTTTTTCGACAAACATTATTTTTTACCAAAAAAAAAAGAGCTCACTTTAGTTTTTTTTTCGCAAACAAAAATGAAAACAGTCGAGAAAAAGTAGCAATGAGGGAGATGAATAACATAATTTCTGTCGCCTCTTTAATTTTGACCTAGTAATATTCATTATCAATGTTAAAGGGAACTTTTTTTGTTTCAATCACTTATGTCTTCCAACACAATTTTATGTTTCGATTTTTATAAATATGGATAACTTTTATTATTACTATTATATTGTTTAAAAAATTCAAATTTTTTTCCACATTTTTTTTAATATCGCCTATATATTCTTAAAAATTGCAAAAATTAAATTAAATTAAAGTTAAATGAAATTATAATTTTTAATTATTTAAACTGCAAAAAAAAATTTATTTAAGCGAATATTTGACAAGCGACAAATTCAATAACCAAACATTAAATTAATAAGTAAACAAGTGACACGCTCTAAAGAGAGCCTCTAAAGATTGGTGTAATAAAGTTTATCAAAGCAAAATATATATAGTAAATATCAAGGAATTAATTAAAATCACAAGTTAATCAATAATTTACATCTCTCAATTTAAAAATATCTACGTAAATATTTGATCAACATTAATTAGAAATTTTAGAATCTCAAACTGAAAATTAATTTTACAAAAATATATAATATAATTAAAATTAATTTTACTTTTTTAAAGATCCAGATGTGCAATTAAAAAAAAATTATTTAAAGTCAAACTTGTTGTTAATATTTTGTAATTTATGTCATAAATTTCATTAAAGAAAAAAGAAATAAAAAAAAGACTACTACAGTAAAGAGTTAAGACCAGTAGTTGAAAGAGGTCGATAGATCCGAGTGTAATGCAAAGTCGAGTGCACCTATGGTGGGTTAACAGGTTTGCTTAAAACTTGATACGTGCTATGCGAAATATGTCGAGAGCTACCTTCGAATAAATGTAGTAGACCTAGATTATGTCTTTCAAGAGGATTGAAAAAAATTCAACTATTATATATAAGCCGATAATTTCTCTATTACGAAGAAAAGGAGATTATATTTTATTATTTTTAATCATTTAAAAATAATTTTTTTTTTTTTCATATAAAAATGAATATAAATTCAAATAAAGAAAATTGAAATAAGCGAAAAATTGCCAATTTTACATACAACAAATAATTTCTTTTTCATAATATATATTTTTTTCAACATAATATCTAAAAATATCATTTTTCAGATGAAAAGATAAATTGCTCGAAAAGCAACGAGCGGAAAATAACGAGATACACCAAACTACTTTTATATTTTACATTTTACATATTATTATTATATAATCGTGAAATGGAATAATTTTACTAGACTTCCAATTTAGAATGTATCATCAAATAATATGAATTTTTTAAATCTCCTCCTAACATTTCTTTACTTTTTTTTTTTTTTCTTAAAAATACTTTTTATATATATTTATAGATATGACTTTATTTTTATATTTCATGCTTTCACGATTTTAATATCACGTATGTAAACAAAAAATCTCCGACTATATGCCAAAATTAAGAATCTAACAATTCCCACTTCCCTCTATATTCTATATTTTATTGAAAAAAAAAAATTTCTTGATATCTTCGCAAAAAGAAGAGAAAAAAAATTCACAGATATATTGAAGAATTTCGATATTACAGAAGAATTTTTTAATTTTATAAAAAGGAATTTCTTAATATCATATCGGAAAACGTTTCCAATATATAAAAATAATGAAAGGAAAATTATTATAGGACTATTAGTTAAGAGCAACCTCATCAAAAAAAATAAGCACCTAATTTTGGTAAACTTTTGAGAAATTAAGTATATTATATCAAATTTACAATGAAAAGATTCTTAAAAAAAAAAATAAAGAAAAAAACATTTTATATTTATTTGTACTCTCTAAATTTGAATTAGTAACTTTTACTAATTTATACTTTTCACTAATTTAAATTAGTAAACATTTTTACTAATTCAGCACGGAGAAAAATGAGTTTGCTATTATATGGATAGCTAATTTTTAGCTACAGTAGCTAATATTTAGCTGTTACAGCAAACTATTTTAGCTATAGTAGCTAATTTTTAGCTGTATTAGCTAACGAAAATTGCTGTCCATATAATAGCAAATAGGGTTAGCTAAAATAGCTAAATTTTAGCTAATATGGCTAATTTTTTTTCTCCGTGAGATGTAGAGAGTAAATAAATAAAATATAATTAAAAAATTTAATAAAATTATTTTTTTTTCGAAAATTCGAATTTTCTAATTTAAAAAAAAAATTTTTTCTGTCTCTATATATAGATAATGATTTCATTCTAAATTGGAATTGTTTCTCGTAAATTGAGGCTTATTTGCGTGTAATATATATATATAGTGCGAAGAGAAAAAAGTGACAATCATATCATTCGTCGATTGCCGATTCAATTTCAAATCGTCCCATTGTGTGGTACCTCTGCACAATTGTATGAGCTTTCGAGGTGCAAGGTATGGTGACCTATGATGCAATATCGAGACTCGAGAAATTGATGGCAGTACTCTAGATAGTGGATATTGCGTCTGCAGAGTCTGAATGTCGCCTTAGATTGGCTTCCATTCGAACAGTTCATCTCCTATTATATTAAAGAATATATACGTAAACCACCTTAAAATTCATCGATCCCATTTTATAAATGTTCGCTATCTCTTCTCTCTCTCTATATATATATATACGAAAATCTTTAAATTACACTCTAAATCTGAATCAAAAAGACATTATCCGATAAAATAGTACAGAATCTTTCAGGGGATTACGTCTCACGAAAGGAGCTTATTCTCATGATTTTAGAAGAAACAAAAACCATTAATACTATTAACAAAAGAATTTTCGAATATGAAGAAATCAAAAATTATCACAATGTATAAAAATATTTATAATATTTTAGTTGTAAATGGTATAAAAATTGGAATAAAAGGTATAAACATTTTACCCTCTAGAAGATTCTTTTTTTTTCAACAAAAAGGAAAAAAATGTTACATGAGAAATTTTCCTCATTTTTTTTTTTGTTAGAGAAAAAAATAATCCATATATAGCCATGAATAAAAAGAGTCATTGTCAACAAAAGAGAAGAATGTAGAAAAATTTATCTTTGATCAAAAGTATAAAGCAACTGTTATATATATATATTTATATTTCTATATATTTGCGAGGGGAAAAAGCTATGTTTAAATATTTGAATATTATAATTTCCTTAATCTTTCATTTTATTAAACATATTTTTAAAAAGTATAAGATAAAAAGAATGATATAATCAGTGTACGAGTACTAAATTTATAAAACTAAGATGTCATAAAGAATTCAAGAAATTATAATTTTAATATTAAAAATAAAAGAACATTACTTTGAATTATAATGTTGCGTGAAAAATTGCAATTGATTAACAAAATGTAAATAAATCGATTTGCGATAAATATATATTAAAAAAAAAAAACTTCAAGTAAAAGAAGAATAAAAATTTCTGACGTACATTCTTTCGTCAACACACACACACACACTCTCGCTACAACCGAAAGGATTTCTTGTGTTTTGTTCATTAAATAATGAAATTTAATCCAAACAATGAAGGTCTTCCTTGTTTAGAAGTTTTATTTTTAAATATATCAATTGGCAAAAAAAGAAGCAGTAAAATTTTCCTATGATTCTATTTTTAAACAAAATTACACACAAAAATAGAATATTACACAATACATATGAAGTATATTAAGAAACAAATATAAACTTATTTATTATTAATTCATCTTATTCTTTTTTATTTCTAATTATTGTAAATACAATTTTTTTGTCTTTAAATAATTTTTTAAAAATTGACATTTTTTTAAAAAAAAATATTTCTATGATAATATTATAAATAAATGATGTTTTAAAGAATTTTCATATTATTAAAATTTTTAATTTCTATGCTTTAGAAATGAAACTTGTTAAATGAAGTGAATTTTTTTTCAATATATGTCGTCAAAATAACGATTAAAAAAAAGAGTCAAAGAGGGAGAGAGAGAGAGAGAGAGCATAAGCCTTTAAGAGGACTGACCCCCTTTTTCTGCCGCGTATATATTATGAATCGGTTTTTTTTTCCATTTTACAAAGCCTCAGAAAATCTTTTCCTTATTATTTCCATTAAAATAATACACACAAATATTATAATTTATTTTAGTTGTCATTTTAAAATATTTCTCAATTATAATAATAATAATAATTTTCTATAGAAATTTTTTTTAGATAAAATTCAAAGTGTTATAATTATTGAACTTAAATTAATTAAATTATATTTGAAAATTATACTTGTTATTATGTAGTTTGACCTAATTTCTTGTTCTTTACATATTTCATTTTCTCATTTCTGACATTTATATATATATGTATATTAATAACTATCAGGTTACTTAAGAAAAGAAAATATGCACGCGAATAAAGTAAAATCTCAGGGATGTTGAAAATTTTACCATTCATTTCTTTTCTATTTTTCTTTTCTTTTTTGAAATTTATATTCCTTGGGGCTTATTTTATTTATAATTTTTGGTTAGAGTTCATTTGTTATTTACCACATATACGAGTGTGTAGACGGTACAAGTACCTGCTTTTAGAAAAATGCTTCTAACTGCTATAGAGAATGACTTGAGAGGGTAACCACTTTTGAACGAATTGCAAAGAATAAGGTACAAAGAAGAAAAAAAAAGTACAAGAGGAGAGAAGAGAACTACTCAAGAGAAACTTTTGTCACGTTAAAGCGCAATAAGAGATCTTTCATATTCTACAATATATCTATATATATATATATATGTATAATAATAATAATAATAATAATAATGAAAAAAACCATTGTCCCCAATTTATAAATATAAGTACATGACATATGCTATAGGATTTCATGAATATATTTTCATCCGCTTATAACATGATATGCATTTCGATAATTTCAAATATATACATATTTAGGTGTAATGGAATTTTGGCGAGAATATATTATAACTTTCTAGCCATATCCTCTAAAGAGTTTCAAAGTTCTATTCAAATGGATTGGGGCAAGTTAATTTCAAATAATAAAGATTAATCTACTCATTTCACTGAAACTAGATTAAACTTATATTAAATTATATTCAATCAAATATAATGTTTAGATTTTTTTTTTTTTTAATAAATAAATTTAAAACTGAAAAATAATATTAGACCCTTATGAATACTCTTAAAAATAAAAAAATTAATAAATATAGTTTTATCATTAAAATTTCCTAACAAATTTAGAAATTTTATCCTATTTTTGAAATTGGTGAACTTTGAAATTCTGTCATATATATGAAAAGCTTTCACGTTAATCATTTATAATTATCGATATTTTGATAAAATAACAATTTTCCTTTTATGTTTTACAACAGGTATGTGATAACAGCATTATGTGACACCTGCAAAAGTGGCAACATCGTGGTGGCAGTGGTTTTCTGGGTGGGTTATTTCAATAGTGCCCTAAATCCATTGATATACGCCTACTTCAATAGGGAATTTCGAGCTGCATTTAGAAAAACATTGGAAAGTTGTTGCGCCGTATTGGGGCCAGTTAGAGATATGCGACAAGTGCACAGAAAACAAGATTTAGTGCACAGTAACGCATCATCTGAATTACATGTCAACAATCAATTGAGAGCAAGCGAATTAACAAATGTTCATCTCGAAGCCTGCATTTAAAAAAAAAAAGGGGGGGCCTAATATATTCAAGTACCAGATGAAAAAAAAAATGTTCCCTTTTATTCACAAAATTAAACGATTAACTCAAAAAAAAAATGCGACAGACAATTTTTTCCAATTCTGGAAATCCTTTTTATGAAATCGAAATTTATAAATATAGATATAGGAAAGAGACTTTTAGATTTTGGAAAAAAGAAAACAATTTTAACTCCTACTTTACATTTAAAAAAATTTCGAATAAATATAAATTTAATTAAAAATCAATTTTAATTAATAAATTTTTAACTGTCCCATAAAATTGGCGAATAAAATAGAATAATTTTAAATTTTATCACTGATTGACATTTTATATATTACTTAAAAATTAATATAATTTATTAATTTCACATAAAGTTTTTCCGGACAAAATAGAAGGTTTTTAAAATTTATAGCGCGAAATTGATCGTTATATTTATTTTTATTATGATTTTAACATATAAAAGTAATTATTGAGTTTTCATAAAAAAAAATTATATTAATTAATTTGAAAAATTAAATAATTATAAAATTTTCATTTTAAATATAATTTACATAATTCAATTTCATCTTGTCAACTGAAAAAATATGAGTATAAAAATAACATCCCCTTAAATTTAAATTAATGTTATTAAAATAAACAGGGAAAATTATTCTAATAGTCTCTTCCCTATATATTTATTCAATGTAATAATTATATTTTTAAGAAAAATTTACATCATTACTGCTGGAAATTTTTGTGATAATTCTGAAAAATTTATTTAAAATAAATTCTTTTTTCAAAAAAAAAATTAAACAATTTTTGAAAATAACTTACAAAACAAAAGAAAACATTTTTCATTCCTTTTTTTTTTTTGGTAATTTTTCAAAAATACAATTTCTAACAGTGATGTAAAATAAAAATTAATCTACATTTTCATTATTTATATTAATAAAAAAAAAAACATATTAATCGTAATAAAAAATTTCATTTATTTTGAAATATATATATAAAATTAACGTCGCTTTATAACGAGAGAAAACGAAAACAAATGAGGAAATCGTTTGACTCAATGATCCGTCTAACAATAAGAAAAACTATATAGTCTATCTCTATTTTGTTTTGCTAAATCGCACAATTCTACTTGACAGCTTCAATATTTTTCTTTTCTGAGATCATCATCTCAGCACACTTTTTAAAATATTTTTCTTTATTTCTCTAATGGGAAAAATAAAAAATAATTGAAATATGGAACATATAGAAACAATATATAATGATTTCTATTTTCGAGATATAAAACAAAAATAAAAGAATGGAAAAATTAAATTAAACAAGTGAAAATTTCAAGAGCTAATTTTAAAGAACTACAATACCATATATATATAGGTATAAATATTATAAAATCGAATTTTAGGCTGTCAATGGAAATATCTCCAATCCACAAATTTCCATCCCGTGATGGAAAATTCTGCCTCTGCCATGCAGAAACCGCACAAATTTAATAAATTCACTGTTTCCAACAAACCAAACAATCATTCTCAAATATCATCAATCTTCAATTTGAATAACAAATTTTACTCCACCTAGATTCATATAACCCATTTTCTTTTCGGTCGACAGATAAATTTAATTAAATATTCCGTTTATTAGAAGCACGCATTTATATTTATCACTAAGTATAAAATTTATTAAATTCTCATTATATATATATATATACAAATGAATAAAAAATAATTAATGAGAATTTTTTCATTTTTAAATTAAAATGTCATAGTAAAATATTTATATTACAAATATAACAACAAAAAAATATATGGAAACGATATTGAATTATTATACTCGGAGCAATAAATTTTCCGAGTGTGTTCAGATATATATAACGAAGAATTATTATTTAGTAAAATATACTGATTTTTTTTCCTGCACGTAAAATATTATTTTTTTTTTTTTTTATCACCTATTTTTAATATATAAAAAAGCAAAGACGTACGGAAGAGACCTCGAAGTCAAAATGTAATTATTATCGACATGATAGGAAAGTCTAATAAAGTTCACCCCTGTCTTCTGTCCCTATCTACATTGATCGAAGCACGAAAAGGGCCTCGTTTGCCCTCTAAACCTTGACATGATTTGAGCACTTTCAAACCGCGATACGATCAAAATTCAATAACAGAAAAAATGGCTGAGACCTGCGAGTTTTCTTCAAGGCAAGAAAGCGATTCAATTTTACTGACACTCGACATCCCATATACACAGCTTTTAAAATAAATCGTTTCCAATAATTTTCCACTCATTTCCATTTTCCTAATCGAATTTTCTTATTTATATAATGGAATTTCTTTATTATATTCTTTTTTATTTTTTATGTTCCATCATTCAAACTTCGTTTTTTTTTAAATTTTTCTAATCAATTTTCTTATTATTTTGCCCTAAACTAATTTTTCTGACTATTATTTCTGACAAAATTTAAAATTTTCATTTTGACAAAAAAACGTGAAGTGTTCTCATCTCTTTTACAAAAAAAAAAAAACTAATCGAATATTGAACTCTTATTATAGGCTTTTAGAAAGGTTTTTTCTCCACTTTATAAGAATATTAAAATGTAAATTTGCCATTTTTTTTTTTTTTTAAAGAAATGAGTTTTTTAAATTTTATTTAAGTACTATTTTATTTAAGATAAAAAGTTTATTTATTTCAAATAATTATTTGAATCAATCTTTTCTAAATTTAAAAATGAAAAACCCTTTTTTGGTGCTAAAACACTATACGTATTTTGTCAAACATAAATAAATCAATTTAGATTTGACCTTTATAACTTTTCTTGTAAAAAGAAAATACTATCGATAGAGAACCTATTTAATAGAAAATTTCATCAATAAGAATGACCACTCGTCTTCCGATAAGAAAAAAAAAAAAACGTACTCAACAGCTCACAACGTCAAATTAACGTTCCAAGGGCCAATAAATTTCACGTTCTCATTAGACGAAAAAATGAAAATGGAGCGTGCTTTGATTTGATAAAACCCAGAGGAAAAAACTAACCAATTCACAAAAGAAATTCCTATATTTTGATTCTCTTCCTCTAATTTTCAAATGAATTAAAAAATTTTAATTTTTAATTTAATTCTTTTCATTCAATTCACATTCAGTTTAATAAACACTTTTGTATATTTTCATTTTTGCATATGATTAATTTTTTAAATTACATATTATAAGACTTAATAAAAACAACGTGAGATAATCGATTTTTTAAAAATATTCCAAAATAAAAATCAAATCTTTGCAAATCGAAATCATTAAGGATGTGTGAATTTGAAAATTAAGGGCATGTGACACAAAATGATAATTAAAAATCTTGGTACAATTTTTTAAGTAAGTATACTAATTTTATACTTAAGTATACTAAATTCAATCTTTGTTAATTAAAAAATAGAATTTTTTCAACTAATAGTGATGACAAAATTTTTGTTTTGAAATAAAATAATCACGCGCTATTTTCGACTTGATGCTGAAATATTGAGTCATATGCCCTTAAGATTTTTAAAAATTAAAAATTTCTTTTAAAATCCAATATTTCAAAATTCTCACAAATATAAGTTCCAAAAAAAGATAATAATATATTAAAAATTTCTAATCAAATAGAATTGAATGGAATCCAATCGATTTTTTTTATAATGAAACATATTTTAATTACTTTTTAATTGAAATAATAAATATATTTTTTATTATGAAATTTTATTTTTTTTAAAAAAAAATCACACAATTTCCTCATATGAAAGCAGTCGAAAAAAACAAAAAAATCCTAAAATTGACCTATTAATTAGCAATCAATTTTTGTACATATGAATAACAAAAAAAAAAAAAATAATAATGTTAATGATAATTATATTAGCGTATATTATATATTTTAAAGCGTGACAATGAATCGCACACAAAAAATGAATAGAGCCAAAATGTGCTTACTGAATGCTCATATATACTAAAATCGATCCATTGTAAATATAACCACGTGAAAAAAAAGAGGAAGGAGGGAATTCAACGTTAAATAAATAAGGTGATAAAAATGAGATCGATAAAATCGTTTGGCATTTACCTATATATAGAATATAAACTAAGAATGAGCGAAAACCAAATAGAATTGTAAATATAAATAAATATGTGTGTATAGAGATATATAGTACCTATATATAAGTATATTAAAATGTACATTTTAGACAAAGAGACTAATCTAAACGTATATTACTTTATTGTTTATTAATATATATGGGATTGATAATGCTTAATCATGATTATTAATAATTTCATTTCGCACAAAAACTACTTTGTGAACAATATTCTACTATTATCATTTTTTTTTTTTTTTATAAAAAGCTGTTATCCTAATAAATAAAATTGTCTAAAATGTGAATTTAAAAAAAAATAATAATAAAAAATAATTTAATAATTAAGTTTACACCAAAAATCAATATCGAAAGTTTAATTACGAAACATATTTAATGATTCAATGGAAAAATTAACAGAATACTTTTTGATATTAAAATGTTAAAGTACATGTTTGTCAACTAAAGCAAAAAAATTGAATTTTATTTTTTATCAATTCCAAAATTAGATTTTCTCAATCAAAAAATATTATACCACATTTTTTTTAATTTACAAAGTGCTGCCAAATGAGTATTAAAATAAAATTTTAAACATACAATTGAGCCGTTGGATATATTAAAATTATGAATAAAATTATTATTTACTTTCACTCAAACTCGTTCTATAAAATAGAAAGTTAATTTAATATTTTTATATATTATATTAAAAATATTTTTACAACAAATTTACAGAAGTTATAAATATTATTTTTAATTTTAAAATTATTATAAATTGCTCGTTCAAAAAATAGTTTGGAAAAAAAATTTGTTTTGTTTTTTGAAAATCTATTTTCGAGGTATCATAAATATCCAGGGGCCAATGAATTTTTAAGAATTTTATTCATAACTTTATAATGATCCAGTGGCTCACTTTTCTTATATAATGAAACTAATTAAAATAAAATATATTTAGTTTTAGTTTCATTTTTCACTTTGCAAAAAAATTTAATACGACATTTGGAAACTACTCTATATATGATATGAATATTATTTGAATCAAAAAATAAACAATTTTCAAATACAGTTCCTAATAATTGATTCAAATAAATTTTATTTGAGCCAATTAAATATATTTATTTAAAAAGTAAACAAAAATTTGTTGTTTAAATAAAAAATAATTTTGTATTTTATTTTTTCCTTTTTCCCTATATTGTTGTCGAATTATTTTTTTAACTTTATATAAATATATATATATATTTTAAATTATTGTTAAAAAT